GACAAATGAGTGAAATTTTGGGGTGAAAAAATGCAAAATCGGGAAAAAATCGGTGTTTTTTACCAAAAATAGCAATTATTTAGCACAAAAATGGCGATTTTTTACCAAAAATCCACTTTTTGGGGGGAAAAATCTGTGGTTTTGGGGGGAAAATTAAGTTTTGGGATAGGTGAGACAGGGAAGTGAAATTTTGGGGCAAAATCAGCTTTTTTTTGGGAAAAAATCAGCGTATTTTTACCAAAAATAGCATTTTTTTACCAAAAATGACCGTTTTTTAGTGCAAAAATAGCAATTTTTTACCCAAAATCTGTGACTTTTTTGAGGAAAATGAAATTTTGGGATAGGTGAGACACCTGAGCAAAGGTGAGCAAAATTTTGGGGTGAAAAAATGCGAAATCGGGAAAAAAAAATTCACATTTTTATCAAAAACAGCAATTTTTTACCGAAAATCTGCTTTTTTCCCCCAAAAATCTGTCTTTTTTGGGGGAAAATGAAGTTTTGGGACAGGTGAGAGACAGATGAGACACCTGGGAAAAAGTGAGAGAAATTTTGGGGTGAAAAAATGAAAAATTGGGAAAAAAATCCTTTTTTTTACCAAAAATAGCCATTTTTTAGTGCAAAAATAGCGATTTTTAACCAAAAATCCGCTTTTTTTCCCCAAAAAATCTGCCTTTTTTGGGGGAAAAATGAAGTTTTGGGACAGGTGAGAGACAGGTAAGGGATAAGTAAGACAAATTAGTGAAATTTTGGGTCAAAATCCTCAATTTTTGGTCAAAAGAACCCAACCATGGTCTGAGGAACCTCAAGAAGATCCAAAATCGCCATTTTTAGAGATAAAAAAACCAAACCAAGACCTACCCCAGGGAATTATGGACCTGAGAACCCAAATTTTGGGTCGAAATTTTCAAATTTTGGGTCAAAATCCTCGATTTTGGTCAAAAGAACCCAACCATGGTCTGAGGAACATCAAGAACTTCTCAAATCTCCATTTTTAGACCTAAAATGACGGAACCAAGACCTACCTGAGGTAATTATGGACCTCAGAACCCAAATTTTGACCTCAAAAACCAAAATTTTGGGTCAAAATCCACGTTTTTGACCAAAGAACTCAATGATGCTTTGAGGAACACCAAGAACTTCTCAAATCTCCATTTTTGAACCTAAAATGACTCAACCAAGACCTGCCCCAGGTAAATATGGACCTGAGAACCCAAATTTTGGGTCAAAAACTTGAAATTTTAGGTCAAAAACCTCAATTTTGGTCAGAAGAACCAAAATGAAGCTTTGAGGAACATCAAAAAGATCTAAAATCGCCATTTTTAGACCTAAAATGATGGAACCAAGACCTACCTGAGGGAATTATGGACCTCAAAACCCAAATTTTGGGTCAAAATCCTCGATTTTGGTCAAAAGAACCCAATCATGGTCTGAGGAACATCAAGAACTTCTCAAATCTCCAAAATTCGAGATAGAAGAACCAAACGAAGACCGACCTGACCTAAATATGGACCTGAGAACCCAAATTTTGGGTCAAAATTTTCAAATTTTGGGTCAAAATCCTCCAATTTTGGTCAAAAGAATCAACCATGGTCTGAGGAACCTCAAGAAGATCTAAAATCTCCATTTTTAGACCTAAAATGATGCAACCAAGACCTACCCCAGGTAATTATGGACCTGAGAATCCAAATTTTGATCTCAAAACCCAAAATTTTGGGCCAAAATCCTCGATTTTGGTCAAAAGAACCAAGCATGGTCTGAGGAACATCAATGAGATCCAAAATCGCCATTTTTAGACCTAAAATGATGGAACCAAGACCCACCTGACCTAAATATGGACCTCAGAATCCAAATTTAGACCTCAAAACCAAAAATTTTGGGTCAAAATCC